GAGACAGAGCTCCGACTGGCCCGATGGCAGACGGCTGGCTTGAGGGGCCTGGGTTTGCAGCCCTGTGGACGGTGTGTCTCCCTTCCCTCTCTGGGCCTCGGTTTCCTTGTGTACTGTGCCCTCACGCCTGCTCTGCCGTCAGCCTGGGCTTATTGCAGAGCTTGTGCAGACGTGAGCCCTGCCAGCTTTCCACTCGCCGAGGCCCCGTGCCTGTGGGTCAAGTCTTCAGTCAATGTTTGATGAACCGACTTGAAAAGTTATTTATAAAAACAGCTGTAGGAAGCGTCAGTCCTCTCTCCTCGATCGTGATCACAAGTGGTTTGACTGTACTGATGTGGCTTTTGTGTTCAGATCAAGCTGCAAGACCATTAAAATCAAGCCATTTTTGTGGAAAGCTAATATGATTATTATTCTTATAGCAAGCCCCAGTTGAAATAGTTATTAACATCAAGCTTTTGGAAGCATGAGCTGAACGCACCGTTCTAACGTGGATTCATCGTGAGGTAAACACTTGTCCTTTTCACGTGTTTGGACAGAGTGAGGGCTCAGCTCTAAGGCTGACCACCGTCAGGTCTTCCCGGCTCCGTCTGGCTGAAGAAACCCTGACGCCTGATCTCCATGACTTGGGAGGTGCGGTGCAGAGCAGGCCCTCCAGCTCACGGAATAATGAGGTGCGCCTTTCATCAAACGCAGCTGGGGCCCTCTGCCTGGGCCCGCGTTCTGCACACGTCACACTTGCTCAAGGGTGACGGAGTCAGAGTCGGAGTCAGCAGATTTTCACTGTTGTCCTGGTGATTTGAGACTGAAATGAGACTTAAAACCTGCAATTATGTGAAAGCCTTTCCTTTCTCACAGGTCACTAGGGTGTCCACGGGCCTGGGGGTTGGAGTCGTTCTCAATACTCTTCTCTCTTAGTCTGTCAGCTAGAACCCACACTAGACCGTCGGCCTTTGTGGCCGTCACTGTCCACCATGTGGAGCAGCAGGCTGGACACGGAAGGAGTTCTCATTCTCAGAGCCCCTGAAACAGGCCTCGATTCCTTCAGAGGACCAGAGCTCTTTTGCTTGCTGCTGGCTTTGTTTCTTTGGTGTCCTGTGGGCACCACACCTGACACCCTGGATCCCTCCCCGTCCAGGGGACCAGCCAGTGTGACTTCAGAGTGCGTGGGTCAAAACGTTAATTCGAGAATAATTTACCCGTGGACTCTGCACAGCTCTTTAACCTGTCTTATAAAAAAGAAAACCCACATTTGTTCTGATTGGCATTTATTTTCTTAGAATAATTGCTTAATTTTCAAACCATTGTTGACACATACTCATAAGAAACTTGGATCAGAGAAATATTTTGATCATGGTAAATTTTTACACCAATTTAGCTTACTGTAAGTGAATGCATTACAATAATAGAATGAATTATGGATATTTTTATTAGATATTGATTAATACTTCTTCAACTAATGGACATTCCAGTATTAGCAGTCCTAGCCAGAGCAATTAGACAAGAAGAAGACATAAAAGTCCTCCAAATCAGGAAGGAAGAAATAAAACTGACTGTATTTGTAGATGACATGATATTACATACGAAAAACACTGCAGACTTCACCTAAAAACTGTCAGAATGAACAAGTGAGCTCAGTAAAGGTGCAGGGCACAAAGTCAGTTTTCAAAGATCAGTTGCATTTCTTTACACTAACGATGAACTATCAGAGAAATTAGGAAAACAGCCCAATTTACAATTGCACCCAAAAAATAAAGTACTTAGGAATAGATTTAATGAAGGAGGTGAAAGATTTATACACAAAACCTGTAAGACACTGATGAACGAAATCAAAGATGGCAAAAGTAAATGAATGGAAAGGTTTTCCCTGCCCATGGATTCGAAGAATTAATACTGTTAAAGTGTGTGAACATTTGCTGCCCAGAGCAATCTGCAGATCCAGCACGATTCCTGTCAGAATCCCAGTGCCGTTTCCACAGAAAAAACACGCAGCCTGGCGGTGTGTGGAGCCACAGAGTCCCTGAAGAGCCGAGGCGGTCTTAGAGAGGGCGAAGCTGGAGTCACCGAGCCTCCTGATGTTAGCCCATGTGACAGAGCTATCGTGGTCGAACAGTGGGCCATGGAGGTGGGACAGGGACGTCCTGCGCTCGACATCTCGCTCAAGAGCTCACAGAGGAGCCAGGGACTCTGCCGTCTGTGACACCCACCGCCACGGCAGCCAGGGACACTGGGGACGCTCACAGTGACGTTTTTTTCATGTCTCTCGCTCCTCACCACACTGGGAAACCTCTCTGAAGCCAGAGCTGTGCTTCCAGCCCCGGACCACAGTCACCGCGGGCGGCTACAGCACCACTCATTGAAGGGGCGAGGCCTCTGCCAGGCTGACCTGGTGATGCTCAGGTTTGGCGAAGGACAGGCGCCTGTGAGAGTTATCTGCTGCGAGACAGCCCCGGGCGGCTGGCCTGTGACTCAGGTCTGTGATGGCCGCTTCCTCTGCAAAAGCAAGTGGGCCCTGCAGCCACCAGCTTGGGAGTCACGTGTGATGTTGATGTGACATCTGTGTACAAAGTGTATCTCTGTGGGAAGAGACACCGACCACCCACAGGAGCCCCAATCCAAGAGAATTTTAACGTTTCTTACTCATAACTTTTTGAAACCCTCTCATGACCTCTGTGTCCTAAACGCCTCATCACAGCCTTTGATGGGTCACTCCTCTGCCCAGACTCACAGTTTGACCTCGTATGGGAGGCTGGTCCTTCCACTGAGCCTGGCATGTGGCTCCAGTTCCAGAGCCCGTCACACAAGCACCAGCCACGGGCCACAGGTGAAGGGGCACCGGGAGGCGGCAGGCGAGGGCAGTGATGGAAGGCAGCCTGCTGGGCATGTGACGTCTATGTGTCCAGGCACTGCCACCTCTGCAGTTAACCCCCTGCCCCTTAATTACTGAGATTAATTAGGGGCAACTGCCTCCCGCCCCCCACCCTCTCTCCCTCCTGAACCGCACAGCACCTCACAGGCACGCCGGGGCCTGCAGCCCGCCCACACTTAGCAGGGGCCCCTCCTGGGCCTGGCCTTGCCCTCTCCCGGCTCCCCTCACACCACTGACTTTGGATCTGTCCGTCAGCCAAATGCCCCTCGGCCCTGAACAGGCCTCCCTGACTTCTCTGACCGTGGGCTCCAGTAGCATCCTGTCCCCATCACTCGATGCCACAGAGACCCTTGCTTTGTCCACATCCCCTCCTCTCTGCAGCCCCCAGAGAGCAGTGTCCCTACAACCTCCTGCCGAAACAGGATGTCCATCCTGGGGTAGGGGGTGCTTGTGAGCACCTGAATCTCACCTTCTATTTCAGTTAACTAAAGTCTACACGTAACGGCCACGCACAGCCAGCCTAGAGGGCAGGGGCTACAGTGTGTTCATGCCTGTAATCTCAATGTTTAACATGGGGCAAAAAGTGAAAATTCAGTGACTGTTGCATCCATTAAGGACACATTTTATCACATGCTCATTTTTCCCAGCACCATTTATTGAAGAGACTGTCCTTTGCCCATTGTATATTCTTGGCTCCTCTGTTGTAAATTAATTGACCGTAAGTGCATGGGTTTATTTCTGGGCTCTCCGTTCTGTTCCACTGACCTATGTGTCTTTAATTTTTTCTTCTTTTAACTGAATCTGGAAAACTTAAAAAAAAATCTATAGGCAGTGGTCATTTTTCAAACATTAATATTTTATAAGACCAGAGATCCTGGCGTATGAGCTGTGGTCTGTCAGCTACACTAAGCAGGCCCCTAGTATCAGCTAATACCTGCTTTCAGGTGAAGCAGGAAGACGCCGTGTGGAGTAATCCACTGGTGACTGAGGAGAGAGGACACACCGCCTCGGGGGCAGGCGGCAGCAGCGGATCGGGATTCCGTGAGGAGCACTTGGGCTTCACGCCAGGTTGAGGGAGTTCCGGGTCCCCTGGCTATCCCGTGTGTGAGGAGGAAATGAGCCCTCTCACTGGAAACCGGGGGAGGGCTGTCTCCCCGTGTCCAGATGCAGGGTCTGATTTGACGATGCCTGAGGCCAGCAGGGGGCCACCCGAGCCGGTGTGAATGCACAGGGGGAGTTTGCTGTGTAGACAGACTCAGAGTCCATAGCAGGAAAAGAGGCAGCTTTGGGGATTGGAGGGTCATGACAGGTGGGTCCCGAGTCTCAGGACCCTCAACGCTGGGACTGCAACGTGCAGGACGGGGGCGTCTTCCTTCTGACCTTGAGTAGGAATCGCCGGAGAGGGGTTTTCACTCCACACGGGACACGCTGCACAGTGACCCCGAAACCTCCTCCAGGCTGTCCAGCTTCTCACCATCGCCCGTGCCAGGTCGGCTCGGGCAGAACCCAGGGCGCAGGGCAGCGCGGGTGTGCCGAGTGGGCGCCTCCCCGTGGATCCGCCCGGCTCGCTTTTCTCGGCTCCACGTCCACCCACAGGTCTTGCCCCTCATCCAGTTCCGACCTGTCTTCACCTTGTCTGCTGTGTCCCTGTGGCCACCACCTCTCGAACAGGTCACTTAAAGGCCCAGAGCAGACTTAATCTTCATTCACACGCAACCTGTTTGCTTCCCATCCTCACACACAAGGGGCTCTTCAGAAGATACTAAAGTGCATTTTAAAAACAGAAGAATTTATGCTTTTTCCCCAAGGCCATAGGAATGAAATTTAACTCTCAACAAAATTGCAGCAAGTCCTTAAAATCACAGCAACTATCATGATTATAACAATGGTGGACACACACGCGTGCGCGCGCACACACACATCTGTTTGGAAGTAGGTGGTTTATTTTATGGTAAGTCCCAGGATCCTTCACACTGAATTTAGTTGGGATGAAGTTGAGAATCACTGAAGTAAATATTTTAAATTCCTTTTCTACTGAAATTAACAGATCCTAGTGGAAAATGTATTTAGCCTAATATGCTTGTAATGGTTCCATTGTACAGAAAATTATTGATTTGAATTATTGTTTTTATAGAACAGGATCTTCATGATCAACCAAAGAGAAGAAGAATTAGAAAGCACAAATCCAAGAAAAAATTTACAAATCCCAATAACGTTCACATGGAACAAGCAGAATCAGAGAAACAGCAGAGTCTTTTACAAGAAAAATTGCAGCCATGGCACCCAGATGGCCCCGCAATCAGCAAAAACAAAAAAAGGAAGCTGAAAAAGAAACAGCAGATTGAAAGGAAGAAAGTGGCTGGTTTACTACCAGGGACCTCTGGGGTCAGCTTCATGTACCAGCCAGAGGGGGACAGCAGTGAGCAGGACGGCATCGGGGAGAGCCACGGGGGGGCCATCCCAGATGCCGGGGGCGAGGGGGCCCCAGACACTGAAGAGGAAGACGTTGAAAGCACCCAGGAAAAGGTGGCTGGCATCCTAAACTTTCTGAAGTCAACACAAGAAGTTTATCTTTATGATGGTATGTTTCTTTCTGTTGTTATTTTGAATAATGGCAGCTACTTATTTGGAGAAACGAGCAAATGTCATAAAATATTTAAATGTTTAAAATATAGAATATATTAAAATACTCAGTATTCAAAATAAATCATTAGCTTTGAGGCAAAAATCCAAATGTTTAGATTCGTCCCGGAGGCTCTGGGCTGGCCCTCTGCCCGGGGCTCCCAGGAGAGCAGGCCAGCCCGTCAGAGCCACGTCCACACGAGGCCCGTCTCGTTGTCCTCACGTCTCTAAAACCGAGCTTCAGGATATGTTGGTATTCTCAGCTGTGCTTCGAAAGAGAAGATACGTCTGGACTGGAGAACGCTTGTCCATTCTTGTCGGCTACCAGAGGCAAAGAGGCCCAGCTGTTCTCTTAGGACAGCTTGTGACTCGGTGACCTGAGACGTCCCTCCTTGTAGTGAGGTGGGCGGTGATGTTTATTCTGGGTTTATTCTAGGGATGATGGCTCCTTACCTTTGCACAGAACCTAGCAGACAGCTGCCCTGAGGGTCAGGGAGAAGCAGGTGCTGGCTTGGAGCCGAGAGCAGAGGCCCTGAGGTCAGCTGTGCCCGGTTCTGATCGTCCCTGGTAGACTCGAGATGTAGTGGCTCAGTGCCTCCCGACTCCAGCAAGATATGGGGCAGTGTTCTTAGGAGAAGATGGACAAATTCTTGCCGTGTGATAATTTGAGGGGTAAGGAGCAGATTGAAACAGTGATGCAAAAGCACCGTTGTTAAGGGACCCGTTTTTGCCGAGAAGGTCCACCCTTTCCTCTCAGCTTGCTCTCAGCTCTTCCTATTAAGTTGAAAGCGTCCTTGATGGGGGCTGGATGACACTAGCCGGAGGACGTGTTTGAACTTGCAGGGCAGAAGCGGGGTTCAGAGAGCAGCTGGTGGTGGACCACCCTCCTGCGAAGGAGGGCTGGAAGCCAGTTTCAGGTGTGTTTGGAATGTCGAGAGCTGCTGAGAAAAGCCCTGAGGAGGACAAAGGAATGAACCATAGCCCCACACCCTCTCTCCATCAAGAGGTCCTCCAGTTCTGGACAGGGGCTGGGGCGAGGTCCGGGGAGGGGGCAGACAGAGCAGTAGAGCCTTGGTGGGCTCACGGGTCTGTGGAGGAACACGAAGGCCCGGGGTTGGCTGGTTCTGTGAGAAAGGACAGTCAGAGACCAGAAGCGGACCTCTGGGGTCCCCCCCAGACCTTGGCCGGGCCCTGAAGCTGTGGATGAGGTAGGAAACCAAGCACAGGGCATCTACACAGCAGGGTGGACCTTGCGGTGTCTTGGGAAACGGAGCAGATAGGTTATGCCGACCGTCTGGTGCAGCACGCAGGCTGCGCACTCAGGAGGAGGTAGGTGACTGCCTGCAGACCTGCAGCACCCTGTGGTCAGCCTGTCCCCGAGCAGAGGCACCGGGGAGCCCTCTCTGCAGGAAAGGACGTTAGCCAGACCCTGCAGTTTTCCGTGCAATCAGTGAGTGCACCAGGCATAGCAAGAGATGGGCCCTTACGCTTGAAACTGCCAGGGAAAAGCCATAGGAAGGCCATGGGCGCGGGACGCTGATGTTTAAAGCAGCTATGATTGAGGTGTCCAAAAATAGGGAGAGAATGGAGAAAAAAGGAGAAAATTGGAGACTTTAAACAGATAATTTGAATCTATTAGGATTATCAAATGGAAATTCTAGGCCTGAGAAATACAATAACTGAAATTAAGAACTCAAGGTGAGATTCATCAGAAAAGAGATTTACGAACTGGGAGACAGGCTGCTGGAAGTATCCAGAGTGAGAGGAGAGAAAGGGCGGGAAGCACAGACATGTAGCAGACACGTGGGGCGGGACCAGCCTCACTCGCCGAGCTGGGGCAGGAGGGACGTGGGAGAGGTGGCGGCTGGGAGTTTCTCCAAGTTGGAAAGGCCACGAAGTTGGACTCCGGACGTCCTGGGGGCACCATCCGGGATCAGTGCGGGAGCCGCCTCGGCCCGCTGCGGTCCGACGGCTGCCGGCCGAGTGCTCACAGGGGCAGCGGGGGAGCCTCCCAGGCCGCAGCAGCTTTTCCTGTGTTTGCAGGTGCCTGACAGCCCCGGGGGGCTTGGTTTCGTGTCTGTCTGTCTGTCCTGCCCCGGGTGGGAGCTCCCGTGCATGACACTCGGAAGCTGGTTTACAAGATCGGGGCTCGTGAACAGACGCCATGTTCCCACTGCCTCCAACAATTGTGTTTTGTTGCTTACTTTGCAGAGTTTTAATTATCGTTCTCTTTCTATCCCAAACATCTCATTCTAAGTAGAAACACTTTGGGGCTTTCTTTAAGAGATGAAAGCGTACCTTCGGTTTACAAGAGTAAGAATTCATTTATGAGTGACCCTGACTGTGTTTAGGTGTCTCCAAGGATTCAGATTCCTCTGTCTTTATGGAAGCCACTGAAGAGCTGTTTAAACATCTTGAAACTCACAGCATGTCCTCCTCAGATGTGTTCATGCTGGATCACATGAAAACACTGTTACTTTTGCGGGATACTGAAGGACTGACTCGTGCCCTGGAAGTGTTCCCGGAACACTGTGGGATGCCACCAGGTACGTAACGCACATTCGCTCACTGTGCTGCTTTAGACACTCCTGTCTGGGTTTTGCCTCCAAGAAGCGTACACACTACACAGCCATGAGTCAGAGAGTACAAGGGTGCACGTGTGGCCCGAAGACTAGATTCCCACAGAAGAGCTTGGTTCTTGTACCTCTTCCTGCTGAGAAGTGTTTCACAGGATAAATGCAGAAATGCACGTACAGCCCGGTTTTCCAGATGCGAGCTGTGCACTCTTAGGACCAAACTTTCATTAGTTTAAATGGAAGTGAAAGAGTTCATTTCTTCTTCCCTTTTCCTTTCCCTCTGCTCGATTTGGAGAAGGTGCATTTTGATTGTCCTCCATGTGTCTTGGTCTGCCTTCCTGAATTACTACAGTTAGAAGAAGCTGAACTATAAGATGATTTTTCTTTGGTTTACTCCCTCAGCCTTTGCTGGGGACCTGTTCCGTGCAAACTGTTGAGTACTGGAGCTGGCTGTGCGCATGTCTTCCGAACACTGTGGTGGGGCTTCATGTTGGCAGCTTGAAGTGGGTGGCGGTGGGAATATTCAGGGCACAGAAATCTGCAGATCCTGCATCTCAGAGGCTCAGGACTATCTGGAGAGCACTTCACCTGCCCAGCAGTGAGCAGAACTCTGTGCCAGACCGAGACTAGGCCCCTGGCAGGTTTCCAGCTGTGGGAATGAAATGGTTCTGCAGTTACCTGGTGGCAGTCTCACAGCGAGCACAGTGTAGGTCCCCCTCAGAAACCTCGTAGTGGGGCTCAAGTCAGGACACCACGTCACACTCAGCAACTCAGGGGCACTGCTGGGATTAGCTATGACTGACGAGGGTGGAGGAGCCCCTGCAAGTCGGGGTCGCCAGGAGCACCACCTCCCTTGTGGGTTTAGGAGCTTCTGGTGAGGGAGGCCGTGTCTTCAGCCACCTGTGCGGGCCCTGCTCTTGCCGTGGGGCCTTCAGCAGAGAAACACCTGCCCTTTGGTGCTCACGCTGTGGTGCGGGGCAGAGAAGAAGGATGCAGAGGTAAAAGGAGACCTGCTTTGTGGAGCTGAGCCCGCGAGGAGGGGGGAGTGAGGGGCCTCATGGTCTTGTGTGTTCCATCCCTCACGTGCACGCACATGCACACGTCACCTCCTGTGGGGTTCTTTCTGCGCTCTAAGCACTATGGCCATGCTGCAGGAATCCCCACCCTCGACCCTCCTGACCTGCGCGTGGTGGGACACTGTAATGCCCCCGGGCCTGAGTCTAGGGGATCAGGCAGGGGGCCTGGCAGGTGGCCCTGGGCAGGACAGCAGACAAGTCTGGAAGGACCCCACCCCGCAGCCCCAGCCCCTGCACGACAGCGGGTCACTGGCCTCAGCCGTCAGCCGCCTGCAGGCTCCGGGCTCTGAGCTGGGGTGTGGGCTTGCGGGGATGGAGCCTTGAGAGCCAGAGCCTCGCGGCGGGCCTTCCTGACCGTTCCCTGAAACTCGGGAGCCACCTGTCCCAGCTCGTCGCTTAGGAGTCTGGTTGCATTGCCCACCTGTGATGTAAACCTCTACCTCGGCCTCATTTCAGTTTGTATGCGGTCTCTAGGAGTTCAGATGTTAAATATGTAACATTGTATGTGACGTTGTGAGGCTCAGGTCCAACAGCGCGTGAACCTGGCAGGCTCGAGCCCGAGTAGAATTCCAGGCTCCCCCAGACTTCCGTGTGACTCGCGAGTGTGCTGCCACCGTCGATGTCATCTGACACCCAAGTTGTGCTTTATTAGATTATTTCAGGGTTCACCTTGGGCCTAAAGACTAATATCTACAAAATAATAGTTTATGCTTTTTTCTTTTTGTTTGGGTTTCTTGTGTTATTTTATTTTTTTCTGTCTTGTTTTTGCTTCCCAGACTACGCCAGGGTGATCTCAGCTTTCTTTAGTTATTGGATCACACGTGTCCTTCCTGAGAAAAACACTGAATAAAACCAGTGCGTCTATTTGAGAAGAGCTAATATTTAACAAGAAAATAGAAAAACAGACGTAAAGTGGGCTGAGCCTTAATTCCTGTACACAAAGAAGATGAAATTCTCTCTATTTTCTTTGTAACCCAAACCGTGGGAACTTGGAAGACATTCCTGCTGTTTTATTCATGTGTTTGTACATAATACAAACAAAGTAAGAGACTTTAAATGAAAAATTGGGATAAAATTGAAAGTTTTCACTTCTTTGAAATTACGTGTCTTAAATTACTACACAGTGATTCTGTTTTTCTGATTCCTGTAAAGATTAAAAATGGACATTCTGCTAGATTGAATAAGCTGTATAGCTTGAAGCTGTTATATATTTGCATAAGATTTTACATCACCTGGCGTCTGAAAGTCTGTTTTAAGAATGCCGTATGAATATTAAAATGTTAAGTATTTTTATTCTAGCTGAATTTATTGTTTTCTTCTGTTTTTCCTCTACGTTAAGAATAAGCTCAAGAATATGTTTTTCCTGTTTGATCTTCCTTTTGTTGTGGAAGCTGTCATCCATTTTCAGTGTGCCTGAGTTTTAAAAACATCAGTCAATTGGGGTAACATTTTTGGATGGCATTGGCTGTGTTCATGAAAATATACTTTTTCATTTCATCGTTTTCGTTGTGTTGTGCATACATAACATAAAATTTGCCATCTCAGCCATTTTAAGTGTACAATTCAGTGGCATTAAGTACACTCACAGTGTTGTGTGCTCATCGCAGCCCTTCCCATTCACAGCTGAATAATGTCCCACTGTGTGTACACACACATTGCATTTGTTCAGCATCTGTCGTTGATGGACACTTGGGTTTTCCCCCTCTTCCTGTTATGAATGATGCTGCTGTGAACATCGTGTACAAATCTGCATGGATGTTTGTTTTCATTTCTCTTGGGAGTGGAATCGCTGAGTCAGGTGGTCACTTTGCAGTAACCCTTGGAGGACCCACCACGCTGTGGTCAACAGTGGTGGTGCCATCACAGCCGCCAAGTCTCATGCATGAGTGCCAAGGTCTCACGTCCTCACCAACACTTGTCACCTTCTGCTTTCCTGGTGACACTGTCTAGTGTCTGTGAAGTGTCATCATGTGGTAGTTTCAGTTTACATTCTGTGTGCTCACTGGCCATTCTCTTCTTGGAGAAATGCCTGTGGAAATTGTTGTCCATTTGTGAATTAGACCCTTAGTTTTTTGTTATTGAATTAGAAGAGTTCTTTATATATTGAGGATGTTAATTCCTTATCAGAATCATGATTGGAAGACATTTTCTCCCATTCTGTGGCTTGTCCTTTCACTCTCTTAGTAGTGCCCTTTGATGCATAGAAATAAGAAATAATTTAAGAAATATTTGCCAAAGAAATAATTGCCAAACCAATATCATAAAGTGTTTCCCTATATTTTATTTTGAGAGTTTTATAGTTTTTTTACAACTCTTACACTTAGGTCTTTGATTCACTTTCAGTTAATGTTTATATATGGTGTGAGGCAGGTCCAATTCCATTCTTTTGCTTGTGGACATCCAGTTTTCCCAACAACCTCCATTTGAAGAGACAGTCCTTTCCCCATTAGGTGGTCTTGGCACCCTTGTCAAAAATAGACTGACCGTTTGTGTGGGGGTTATTGCTAGAGTCTGTTCTGTTCTGTTGGTCTGTGTGTCCTTGTGCAGACACCACACTGTTTTGTTTACTGTAGCTTTGTAGTAAGTTTTGAGATCAGGAAGTTTGAGTCCTCCAACTTTGTTCTTTTTCAAGATTGTTTTGGCTATTTGGTTGGGGTCCTTTGCGATTCTGTATGAATTTTAGGCTGAGTTTTTCTGTTTTTGGAAAAAGCTCCATTGGAATTTTGACAGGGATTGCAGTGAATGTATAAATCGCTTTGGGTAGTATTGACATCTTAAGCAACATTAATTTTTCCAGTTCATGAACACAGGATGTCTCGATGTCTTAAACTTCTATTAGCAATGCTTTGCGGTGTGCAGTGTGCCGGTCTTTCTTTCCCTTATTAAACTTACTCCTAAGTGTTTCATTCTTTCTGACGCTGTCGTAGGTAGGGTTACTTCCCTAACTTTCTTTTCAGGTTGCTCACTGCTGGTATATAGAAACGCAACTGGTTTTTAATATTGATTTTGTATCTTGCTTGTTCGCTGAATTCGTGTGTTAGCTCTATAGTTCTGGGTGTGTGTGTGTGCGCGCGTGCGTGTGCACGCATAATCTTTAGAGTTTCCTACATACAAGATCTTATTATCTGTGAAAGAGATCATTTTCTTTCTTTCCTTCCACTGTGGTGCCCCATTCTCTAGAGCTCCTCTTCCCCATCACCCTCTAGGTCCTTAAGAGGCATCTGTCCCACTAAGTAGAACCTTCTGGAGGCAGATGAGACACTGAGGGTTCCATACTTGGTTCTGGAGATCCGTCAACTTGAGACTAGTTGCTGTGAAGTCCCCCAAGCTTGATAAAGGTTGGTAAGTGGGGCCACCAACCAGGCCTGGACATCAGGAAGGTCCACCACCCAGGAAGGTCCACCACCCAGGACGGGCCACCACCCAGGACAGGTCGCACACCAGGAAGGTCCACCAATCAGGACAAGCCCACAGTACTCCAGTGCTGCCTCCTTGCAAATGGATGACGGTCTGCTGTCTCCACAGAGCTGGGGTCAGGACACAGCCGCCCCTCGAAGTGGGAGCCGCAGGCAGTGTCCTGTCCACACCCGGATGCCCTCTGTCTCCCTTCCCCCTCGGTGGAGAAGCGATCTGCTGCCACCACTCCCTCCTCCTCCCAAGACGTGATGTTGCGGAGGTCAGAGGTCAGAGGCCCTGGAATCGTGTCCCCTTCACTGGGGGCTGAGGGGTCCCTGGCAGGTGGGAAACGGCAGCTTCTGCCTCCTTTCCAGAACCTCCCACCACCTCGGGTGGGACCCTGGCTTTCTGATTCCCATGAGGTGCCTCTTAATTAATGACATGTTTGCCAATATAAAAATAAATTAAATGTTGGCAGATTCATAATTTCCTATTAATTCTCAACATCCAATTTGTGTCTTTTAGTTATGAACAATTTATAACTTTTCCCTGCCCAGCAAATTAACAGTATTGATGGATTCCAGGAAACAAGCTCTAATCTGCAGGCAAGACCTGAGCCTTTACTTGATTCTGGTCTCAGCACAGAATCCCTGTAAACGCTCCTCTTGGCTCATTGGGGTTTACTCTGTCCGTTTCCCTGACCTCACCCCAGAAGTACAGAGGAGCAGGGGTGTGACTGAGTAGTTGGGGTGATCAGGATATCTAATTCCAAAAAGAAAAACGCCACTTCTAGAAAACAAAGACAGGTCCATCTTGTCTCTGAGACAGCAAAATATGATCGTCTGTTCCCCCTCATGATTGAGGCTGGAGGGAAATTAGAACTGTCTGTATTTCACAGTACTACAGAACATTCACTCAGTCCACGTTGTTGGTCTTCCGTGAACGGTTTGGTTCGTGCAGACAGAGGAGGCTCTGAGGAGTGAGGAGCTCGTCGCTTGCTGCTGGGGAGGCAGTTGTGCCGGGAGAAGCCCGGCTCCCCTGCATCCTGAGACCTCAGGAGCAGGACGGCATCCCCTGGCTGTTCACAGACCCTGATGCTCTGTGTTTCCAGGAAAAGCTGTCCTGGTCCGCCTGC